CGTCTGCCATACCCCGCCTTGGCGAAGAAACTTGGGCGCCGGCATGCTTGTGGTGGCGCTCCAGCGCGGGCCCCGGCCCAGCGAGTGGAGGGCGAAGCCGTTGACGCAGGGGTCCTGGATCTACCGGCAGCTGCGGGAGATGCCACCACCTGTGCAAGTCGTTGGCGAACCCCTTCCACCCAAAACACCAACAGGCCCTATCACGGCAACTGCTACTCTGGGGCCCTCCACGCCTCGCCGTAAGCCACTGCGACAGGCAGGTCCCGCGGGTTTTGGTGCGACCCCGGGTGGCGTGGACCAGTCCTTCCGCCATCCTGGACGAGACGCTGCCGGTCTGCGCCCGCTGTCCACATGGCTGCGTCGCTGTGCTCTCGGGCAAACTGTAGAGGGCAGTCGCCGTGCGCCGCGTGGACCGATACAGTCAAAACTATGGTCGAGAAAGATGCAAATTGAGAAAGCTGGGGCAGCTTTTCAGAAGTTTCGTAAGGAAACGCTGGGCCAGCTTTTGGAGCCAGGAACGTACACTATTCATTTCTAGAATCCACAGCTACCAATCCCCTTAAGAAACTGAGCCAGCTTTCCGGCAAGTTGGTTAAGAAACACTGGGCCAGCTTTTCGGGGGGAGGTTTCTTAATCATAAACGGGACCGTAGCTAGTCCTATGCTGCCGCGTGTATGTCACGAAGAGCTTGGTGAGACGCAAACCGCACGCTGTTCAACTGTAGTCATCGAAACAGCGTGGCGGCGGTGCGCTTGTTGTACCGTGCCCCCGGCTTCCGCCTCATCCAGAACATGTGTCGTAGTCTCTGGAGCTCCCAGGTCCTCAGACGAGCCATATTGAGCTGATTACCGTGCCGTGCTCAATCGAAATCCACTCCTGCTCCTTACAGAAGAACTCGTCCCTGTCGCACGCCGAGACGTGTTGGTAGAGCGGGCCGGGCGTTTCGCCGACGTAAGACTCCCTCACCACTTGACCCTTAGTCTTGAAATCTGCAACAGTCTCACGGATTGAGGGCGGGCCGTTTCGAAAATACAATTGGACCGACCACAAGAAACCTTGTCACAAGAAACCCAACCCTGAGACCCCAGGACCTCCACTGATTTTTGGTGTGGGAACGTCACGTTTTCCATAGCAGAACAATCGAAACCCAAGAAACCCAGGGCACCCTGGAGGCAAGCATATTGTTTCTTGGCATGGGTCTCCCCTGTACGGTTCTCGCCTCGGCGCCGCGCGCATTCGTTGAACACATACACCAAGAGCTTCACGGATGGAGGGCGGCTCCTTGTCCAATTGAGGCTCTCTCGCCTTAGCGCCATGCAGAATCGTTTTAACCATGGGTGCGAGTTTCACTAAAGGATGGCGGCTCGTGTTTCAATATGTGGCTCTCGCCTTCGCGCCGCGCACGCTCGTCCTACGCAGTTGCAAGTGTTCCAAAGACTCCCACGACTAACGCCCCAGAATAGGTGCTTTGGCGGGATGTAGGACTGCTAGGCCGCAACAATTACTTTAATTCGCAGAGTCGGAATCCCAGGAACGGGTTCTGGCACGGCTCAGCATTGTCAATCATCAAAGAGTAGGGTTGATTCGTGGCGTTGAGGTCCCAAGAAGAGTTCAGGATGTTCATACGTTTGCTTCTCGATGTCAAAGAAATCCTTGTATGGGGCCTCTGAAGAGGGAGCTTGGAGGAACATGTCTTGCCAAATCGTTGATGAGCCTTGGGTTCAAGCTGGTCCTCCTCCCCCGCCTCCTGCTCCATCCCCTCCTCCTCCCCCTCCTCCCCCTCCTCCTCTTCCTCCTGCTCCCCCCCCTCCGCCTTCTCCTCCGCCTCCTCCTCCGCCTCCTCCCTCCCTCTCGCCTGCTGTGGAGGAGGGTGCAGAGCATCATGGGGGGGGGGCGCCCGGGGGGCGAGGGAGCACGGGGAGAGCAGGAGGAGCGGGAGGGCAGGCAGCGGCAGGGTGGGGAGAAGGACCAGGAGGGGAAAACACGGCGGGAGGAGGAGGAGGAGGAGGAGGAGGAAGGAGGAGGAGGAAGGAGGAGGAGGAGGAGGAAGAGGAGGAGAAGGAGGATGAGGAAGAAAAGGAGGAGGAGCAGGAGAAGGGGGAGGAGGAGGAGGAGGAGGAGGAGGACGAGGAGGAGGAGGAGGAGGACGTTGAGCGAGGAGGGAGAACGCGTACCACTGGGGAGCATCGCCGCCGAACGAGTAACCAGGAGACGCTGGCGCCCGAAGGCCTCGCAGCAGAACTTCGCCACGCGGGCCCCGACCCGGTGCCAGGCTCCTTAAAGCCCCGCCCTCTGGCCCTCGAAAGGGCAGCGTTCTGTGGCCGGGTGCAGACCCTTCCGCAGACGATCGAGGCCATCACCTGAAGCTCCCCTCGGCGACATGGGCTGCGCAGGTCGAGCGAGGGGGGAAGCAGGGGTGGGTCAGCCATAACTGGGGGAGCTGTGGTCCTTACCCCCCTGGGCGGACCCATCGCATCGACGATCTCTCGAGAGGGGTGTCGAAATTGATGGGTCCCCCAGGGGGGTAAGGACCACAGCTCCCCCTGTTGTGGCTGGCCTGTGAGAGCGAGGGATCGGGCCCGAAGTCCTGCTGCACGCGAGGCGCACTGGAGAGGCGACGCGGAGCCCCTTCGGGTGCAGGCCTCGGCCCCGCCCGGACGCGCGGAGGGCGCCCATGACGAACCAACAACACACACACACACCCATACCCATAGGGGGGTCGGAAAGGGCTATGGGTGCGTGTTGTCGGATGGGGGTCCCTGCTCGAACGGGAGCGTTCCCTAGGGTCCGACAACCCGCACCCATACCCATAGCCAGTCCTCCTCCCAACGAACCCCTTATGGGTATGGGTGTGTGTGTGTGTTGTTCGTTCGTCGTTCGTCAGCCCAGGGGGAGACCCGTGACCCGTGGGCGGGCTCCGGGCACCTCGACCCCCCTTCAGGACCGTAGCGGACCCTGTCCGACTATCTACCAAACCACCCCAACCCAACCCGAAGACCCGAATTTCGGGTCGGGGGGGGGGGGTTCGAGCTTCATGTGTTTTTTTATCAACGTTCCCCGAACCCCCCCAACTGGAAATGGAGGGCAAATTCGGACCTTCGGGTTGGGTTGGGGTGGTTTGGTGGGCGGTGAGTCCCAAAATGTCGACCCACGGGGGCAGGCGGGGGAGCAGAGAGCCACGAGCACCCGCCGGCCGGAAGGAGGGGGCAGACGCATGAAGCGGCAAGGCGTTGCCAGCAGACTGGGCTCTGGCTGGCAGAAAGAGGAGGGAAGAGAGAGAGAAGAGGAGGAGTGAGGAGGAGGAGGAGGAGGAGGAGGAGGAGGAGGAGGAGGAGGAGGAGGAGGAGGAGGAGGGAGAGGAGGAGGAACCCCTCGACCCTCGGAGCAGCAAGGCGGCCGAAGCAGACTGGGACCCGAACACAAAAAAACATGACTTTCGACCACCGACGGGTACACGTCCACTCTCCGCGGCCCCGCGCGCACGGGTGGCCGTGCTCGAACGCGCAAGCCAGGGCAGGCCGGCCGGGCCGAGTTGGAGGCAGTGGCAGGAAGGGTAGGGCCTAATTTTTTTAGAAAACTGTACATGCGAGCGACCTTTCATCCGATGCTTCTGTGCAGTGCCATTTCGGCTGAAGAGCCCCTGGAGAGCGAAAGCTACTCCAGATTTCGTAATAAAGGGAGGGGGGTCTCATTTCGGGGGGGGGGTCTCTTCCAGGCTATCTTGGAGGGCCTGGGGGGGTCTAGGGACGATGTTTGGAGGGTTCTCCCACGGGGGAGGTCTGAAATGGCTTGTCCTGGAGGGTCCAGACCCCCTCCCTTTTATTACGAAATCTGGAGTACCTGCGCTTGGCACACCAAACACATCAGCATCCGAGCAGGCTTGATAGTCCCTTCGATCGGGGGAGGCCCGGCAGGGCCGCGCTGGACCGCGAGACTGGCCGCGTTATACGAACATTTGTGCAATGCGTGCTCTCGAAACCAGCGCGGATTCATGTACATGTACGTCCTTCTTTCGCTCCTGAGATAGTCCTTTCGATCGGGGGAGGCCCGGCAGGGCCGCGCTGGACCGCCTCGCCACACCGCAGCGCACCGGCCACGCCTCGGCACGCCGGCGGACCGTCCCCCGCATCGAGCCGAAGTCGGATCGCCGCGCCCGGCTCCAGCTGGCCCCGACCGGTGCCGGTGGATCGGCGGCGAGCGAGGGGGGGGAATTCGAAGGAGAAGGAGTCCTCGGGAGGCGGCGGGACTTCTCCGGAGTCCTCGCGCCCTCTGAGAAGAATTTGTGTTGCTGTCCTCGGGGGAGGCCTGGAGCACTTCTCAGAAGGCCCGAGGACCTCCGAAAACCTTCCGAGCAGGCCTTCTCCTTCTCCCTGCCCCCCCCCCCCATCGCTCGCCGCCGAGGTGCAGCGAGCCGCACCGCGCCGCCTCGGCGTCGCGCCCCCAGCCCACGGAGCGAGGCGCGCACCGCGAGGCGGAGGTGGGTCGAGCCGACTCGAACCGCATCGGAATCGCGTCCCCAGCCTGCGCGGAGCGGATCGCAGGCGGCCCTGGCCGGCCGCGTGCACGCACGGGCAGGCGTGCACGGCTGGCCCCCTGCTGGGGGAGGGGAGGGCGCGAGGGCGGGGGGAGGTGCGGCCGCGGCTCTGCGGGTCGCGCAGGGAGAGTGTGCAGAGTGGAGGCCCACGCCAAGGAGCACCCTCCTGTCCTCCTCCTCCTCCTCCTCCTCCTCCTCCTCCTCCTCCTCCTCGTCATCATCCTCCTCTTTTCGCCTCCGCGGGTCTTGGGTTTCTTGGGTGCTGATGGTTCTGCCGCGGAAGGCGCGTGGCTCCCACGCCAAAACTCAACTGAGCGACGGGAGAAGTGGGTCGTGCGCAAGATGGCATGGCGACCTTGCGCGGCGGCGTACGCGGGCCGCCAGCGCGGTGCGCTACGCAGGAGACGAGGCCTCGCACGCGCGACCTTCTGCGGGCAGCATACGCGCCCTTGTCTGCGGCAGACGACCCCGTTTTTTTCTTGCGTCGCTCAGTTGAATTGGGCGTCCTCCTCCTCCTCCTCCTCCTCCTCCTCCGCCTCCACCGTCAAACAAACCCCGTATTCAGGGCCCATGGAGCCTCGAGCCGAGCTCGAGGCCCAGAGCGGGCCGCATCCAGAGCAGTTTCTTTTCGGGCAGGGGATCGACGACAGAATTGCCTTGCCCCACACTGGAATCTACGAAACACGTAGGTGCTGCGTGGATCGACGCAGTAGTTCCAAGACGTCCCAGGCCCCCTCCAAGAGACCCCCAGGAAGCCCCAAGAGGCCCCCACGAGGCTTCCAAGCGGCCCCTAAGAGCTTCCCAAGAGGCCCACAAACTACCCCCAAGAGGCCCCCAAGAGCGCTCGTCGTCGTCGTCGTCGTCGTCGTCGCTATTCAGGGTCGGCGGCACCGGCCGTAAGGCCTTCGCAATACGTAGGTGCTGCGTAGATCGACGCATTAGTTTGTAGATTCGACGGGAAGATGAACTCTGGGGTGAATCCACTCTGCAGTCCGTGCAGTGGGGTCCCAACAACATGAGACCTTCCACAAGAAACCCAGCCCTGAGACCCAAGGACGTCAATTGACTTTTTGGTGTGGGAACGTCACGCTTTCCATAGCGAAACCATCGAAACCCAAGACGCCCAGGGCAACCTGGAGGCAGGCAGGGCGTTTCCTGGCATGGGTCCCCACTGTATAAGATTCGATTGCGATGTCGCCTAACTGTCTGCGTCATCTTCGCGCCCTCGCGCCCGACGACCTCCGCGCACCCCCAGGGGCGACCCTGAAAGTTCGGCCAACACAAAACTGTGATGCCTAATGCTCTTGAATACAGTGGAGGCTAGTCCACAAGAAACCTTCCACGCGAATCCCAACCCTGCGACCCCATGACGTCCATCGATTTTTGGCGTGGGAACGTCACGCCTTCCACAGCAAAACCATCGAAACCCAAGAAACCCAGGGCGCACTGGAGGCAAGCAGGGTGTCTCTGGGCATGGGCCTCCACGGTACAGGGGCCCTGCACCCTCGGACCAATTCCGAGGGACTGGATTTTCGTCCCGACTCGCTTCTTGACGGCCCCAGAGCCGAAACCGGCCCCGGACGCCAGACACGACGCAAGATCTGCGTCGTGTTCCTTCCTTCCTCCGAGGAGCTGAAGTCTAGGAATGGACAGACCGAAGAAGCATCGAGCCCCTTCCGAACCAACAGTGGGCCTTGCCCCAAGGAATTTCAACTGCACTGCGGAGGTAGAGCAACAAATCATAATAACCATACAGTCAAGTCGCATAATAAGGATGCGCGGTAAAGATGCAAATGCCTTGGGGGCCATTTTGGCGCTTCCAAACAGTAGTGGCCGGCGAAAGTCGCCAAGATGGGCCGAAGGGGCAAGGATGAGAGGTTGGCGTTGGAAAATTGATCATCCTTGCTATGCGATATGCGACTTGCCTGTGAACTTCTGGAGGTGCGCGCGGATCTCTTGGGCTGGCGTGGACCCGCCGCTCTTGGCGCGCGAAACGCGCCAGGCGCGGCTCCGGAGTCCCCGCCAGGGGGACCAAAGACGATCTTTAGGTCGGGCATGTCCTCCTACAGGCGGATTGGGAAAAAAGACAAATAGTCGAAAAATGCTCAAGAATACCCAAACATAGCAAAACAAACAAACCATCACCAGACTATTGTCTGACTACTATTGAATCTTCCTCTTGTCGAGGGACACGCCCGACTGGAGACGCTCCAGCAAAATCCGCACCGTGTCGGATCGGATCGGGCCGAAATCGGACTCCAAACTCGGGGCCCGCATGGGATGGGACCCGCGAGCAGCCAGCCCTGCGGAGGCAGACCTGCGAACACGGGCAGCTTGGAGGCCGCTGGGGGGGTCCGAGCTGGAGAAGCCCAGAGGAAATCGGCCTGAATCAGGGGGGCGTAAGACCTGGGTACAGGGGACTCGGAAATCCCCGACGAGGTCGTCAAAAAAATGACGAGGCCGCGCCTGCATTTTGACGAGGCCTCCCGCCGCAGACATCCCACAAAACTCCTCCTCGTCAAAATCCGAGTCGCGGTCGTCAAGAAACGATGGCGAACCCGAGTCCCGGCAAACCCGGGTCTTACGCTCCCCCGACTGAAGGGGGGGGAGGAAGGGAAGAGGGCCAATTCTCGGGGGCGCGCAAACGTGGATGAGCGATCCATGGACTTGGCGCGCGGTCGCCAAGTCCATGGATCGCGGGAGGTGCCCTCCCCAACATGCGGCCGGTGCCGCCTCGCTCGGCGGCGGAAATCCGCAGGCTCCCGTGGAAAGGGGGCCCGTCGCTAATCCACGTCCCCCTTGATCCATGCTTGCGATCGCCCGGAATCCGCCGAAAATCCCGGCACCAGCGACGAGCCACCTCGGCCCCCCAGCGGGCTCCAGCGGGGCAGTCCCAGCCCCAGGGGAGGGAGGCCTCGGGGCGGCCGCGCAGAAGACCTGCGAGCACTCCTCGCCGGACAGCCTCCACGCGCCGTCGTTCCCGCACTTGGCCACCTGGCGGGCATGCCCCCCTCATCCTATCCCTGTGGATGCCGTGGCAATGGACACTCTAACAATCCTGCCGTTGACATAAGCATGTGTTTGACATGGTTAAAACATGTTCTAAACATGTTTCAAATCGGTTTTTACATATCTAAAACCATGTTTGAAACATGGTTACACATCTGGAATTTATTTGGCAGCACGCTTCCTCTCAATTAATCGACTTCCACAATTCTATCCCAGCCTGCGCATACCCAGCCCCTCCACTCTCTGTCACGATGACGACGTTGGCGGTGGCCGTGGCAACGACGACATTGACAGCCACGGCGATAGCGGTTAAGACAGGGACGGCGGCGACACGACAACGAAAACGACAACGGCAACCCTGGCAGCGGCGAGCACGACGGAGGGGAGTGCGAGGCGACCGAAGAAAGAGCGGGACAAAATGGACACGCCAGGTGCGCTCACGCCGCATCTACCATGTAACCCATCAAACGGTCATCGTGACGGAATGTCGGTGCACATGTGACCGTGTTTTTTTTCTGCCCCTGGTACTGGACGTATGACCAGAGGGAGGGGGGATACGGGCGGGAGGGTAACAATGACGGCGGCCGCGGCATGCACCCGCCAGGGTGCGTCCGCGCCTACGGCGCATCAATCGCCGGTGCACCACAGCATGCAGGGGGGGGGGTCCAGGTCACTTCCCCCGAAAGATCGCTGTTGCTACCCAGGGAGGGGGATTGAATCCTGGGCGCTGTTAGGCACCCCAGGGATTTCTCACACTATTTTTCCCGAGGCCAGAAAACCCCAAGATAGACCAAGAGCGTCCCATGCCAAGAGGGCCCCAGGACGTTCCGAGGGGATCCCGACGTGGCCCCAAAGCGCCCCAGGACGGCTCAAGAGAACCTCGAGACGGCCCCAGAGGCCCCAAAAAACACCCCAACACAATCCAAAACAGGACCGCCTAAGAGGGCACCAAGAGGCCACAAACGTTGAATTCGTTCAGGCGCTCGACTAAATTGTGTTCTCGCTGTTTCGGGCGTCCAACGCCCCAAGGGCGCCTAAGATGGCCCGAAGATCGCCCCAAAACAGCCCACAGGGCTCCAAGATCGCCCCCAAACGGCCCAAGCGGGCCCCAAGACGGCCAAGGAGGCTCTAAAGACGCTTCAAGAGGGCCCCCTGATAGACCCCAAGAAAGACCAAAGAGGGGGAACGTGGAGACGCCTTTTTGAGCCCTCCTCCCCAAGATGGGCCCAAAATGCTCCCAAAGGCCTAAGAACATGCCCCAAGAGGGCCCCAAGAGGCTCCCAAGAGGCCCCTACTAGCAGGCCCCCAAGAGAACCCCATGAGGGCTCCAAGAGGCACCCCAAGACACCGATCCGAGGAAGACGACTCTGGCCCACAACCCCAGCGCGGTAGCGGGATAGGCTATGCACCGCCCCCTTTGGCTTGCCAAAAGTGCTTGGCGTGCCAAACTTGAATGGACTTGCTGGCCCTTCCAGAAAAAAATATGGGTGAACCTTCGGCACAACTTGCCAGCAACCTGTGCAGAGACGGGCGGGTCGGACGAGACCTGCATGCCCAGAACTTCCGTCCCGAAGACGGCCAAGATGAACGCGAAGACGGTCCAAAATGGCCTCTGAGACGGCCCAGGGGAGTCCGTGCACGGGGCGTCCAAGTGCGTGCAATATGCTTCCAATGCATGAAGAATTGCCTCGACACGACCTAAGGCGGCCTCAAAACTTCAGAAAAAAACACCAAGAGGACGCCCAAAAGGAACCAGAAAATAAGCATTACACGGCCCTTGATGGTCCAACAACTGCCCTAAGACATTTCCAAGGTGGCTCGCCCCACGACGGCCCACAAGAGTCCCAGGCTGGCCCTCCGAAGTCGCCAGGCGGTCCGAGATCACAACGAAGCCCCCAAGACAGTGGAAATTGCCCAAAGAGACCACATAGGAAGCCCAAACATGACCCCAAAGCGCTTTCATGAGTGTTCTCAAATGATTTCCCCGACAAGCATGGCCACCACCTTCGTTAGACATTCTCCACAGGGACGCTTCCGAAGGCAGGGGGCGGCGTTGGTTCGCCGAAGGCGTCTTCAATGAACGTTCCGCGCGCACCTGGTGAGCTCTGGTCGGGGATGGGCGCGTACCGGATTCGGGAAAGGGGGCTGGAACGAGATTGGGCTTGGTGATTCAGGGTTCGAATGCGGGCAGGGGTATGCTTGGGGTCGGGTTTAGGGTTGCGCTCGGTGTGGGGGGGTGGGACTAAATCGGGCTCGGGCGATTACTCTTTTAGAAAACTGGTTGCTCTCCTGGCAACTCGGGGCAACGATAATGGTCATTGCTTGGTTTTGTGCGCGTCGTAGTTTAATGCTGCTTGGTTAATGTGTGGTTTCTCATTGTATTGCTTGGTTGTGTGTCCCGAGTGTTCCGAGATGGTTTTGGTTGGCCCGAAGCCTGGGGCCCCTTCATGCCGTGGCGAGATTGACGCAAGCGGCAAGGAAACTAGTACAGATGGCGGCGTAGCTGCAGGTGGCGCTGGCTGCTGAATTGACCACGGCGTGTTGCCATCGGCTGCTGCGGCTTCGTCCGGGTGGCCTGGTGGCCAGTGGGCCTCGTCGTAGTCCTGGCGGCCTTTGACTGGTTGGCTGGCTGCCGCGATTCCCCAAGACCAGCCAAACGAAAACAGGGGCCCCTGCGCGCGCCTGCTCTGACGAATGCGCCTGATAGGGGGGAGTCACTCGCCATGGCGAGGGCCGCGCTTGCCCGCGCTTGCTGAGGCAGGCGGCACAGCTGGCGTCCGCCGCCAGTGCGCCACTGTCTTAATCGATTCCTTCGGTAGGCGTTGCAGCTGGTTGTGGCGCGTTGGCCTTGGGCTCGTCGGTTTGCAGATCGCCCGCCACGATGTTTAGTGCCGTGCTGGCAATTCGCGAAATTATGTCCGAGACGCTCACATTGCTGGTGGCACTGTTGCGCTGTCCGTGGGTGGTTTCCTGCCCGCGCAACGCGGCGCTTTCCTATCTCTCGACGTCGCTGGCTGCGTTAGGCCAGGCCTCTGGGGGAACAGGGCATGACTGCGTGGATGCCTTTGTCGGTTGTCGCGCTGCTGGATGCGCTGGGGCAGGCGCGCTGCTTGTCCCGATCTGTCAGGCACGCTGGTTGGAGAGCCATTAAACCCCAGTGGGCGTGGTGCCCATGGCGGGACCTCCAACGAGTCGTCGGCGGACGTGTTTTTCATGGAGGAGTCATCGTCCAACTCTAACGAAGCTTCCCCTGGCGGGGTCGCAGCTCCGGGACGTCTGCCGGGGCCCCTGGTGGCCGGGGGTGGAGGCGCCACGGATGCCGCCGTTTTGCTGACACGGCTGCAGGTCCCCAAAGCGTCCAGTCTAAATGCAATGGGCAAGGTGCACGGGTCAGTCCTCTTCAGCCAGGACGTTGAGAGGGATGCGCTCTTGGTGCCGCGTGAGTTGCGCGTTTGGCCATGCCGCGCGGCAGAGGTCGCGCGCTCCCCCGTGGAGCCTGCGCTCGAGCGGTGAGTTGTCACTTCGCGTTGGCCTGCGCAGCGGCACGCAGCTGTGGCGGTGGATTTCCTCCGCGACACTTCCGATGCATCCATCCATCCAGATCTGGAAAATTTCTGCGCACTGGGTCGCAGCTCGCTGGAGGTGCAGGAGGAGGCCGCGCCTTTTGCCTGCGTGCTCCCTGCTGTCGGAGGCAGCCGCGGCGGTTGTCCCCACGCCTCGGTGGTTGACCCCGTGCGTGGTGGCATGCATCTGGAACAGTCCGTCAGCGTCATCGGGGTCCTCGACGGGGTCATCTGCGGTCGCCGTCAGGGGATCGGGCGGGGGCGTCGCGGCCCCGGCGTCCCCCGACGTCGCTGTTCGCTGCGGTTGGGTCAGCTGGACTGGCGTCATTCCGCCCCGGTGTCCGCAGCGTGCCCATTCGGCAGGAGTCGAGCGCTCGCGCGCTGGGCTCGGGCTGTCCCGCGGCCTGCATAGCTTGCCGGAGAGCGTCGAGGATGCTCGCGTTGCGTCGCTCTGCCAGCCGGTTGGCGCTGGCTCATGGCCGGGAGCGGCTGCGCTCTTCGTGGTCGTTGCCGGTCGCGCTAGCGAACTCGGCCGTGTAGTGAGCTGTCGGAGGCGGCCCCCGTCGTCGATGCGCATTAAGTGCCACTGCTGAGCGTGACTGGGTGGGGCAAAATCTGCCGGCGGACCGCTGCGGCCACGTGCTGTCAGACATTGTCATCCATCGTGGCCCTGGCCGCAGATGCCGCGGCGGTCCGCGTCGCTGAATTGGCACTAGCAGGGGGGGCAGTCTGCGCCCCGCCTGCAATGGCAAAGGAGAGGCCGTCGGCGGCGTCCGCCGTCGCACAGCGGAAATGATCGGCCACGAAATGTCCTGCACTTGGAATGAAGTCCCGGGGCCGAGGCGCGCGGGCGGCGGCGGCGGCGGCGCGAATGGCGCCGCCGCGGGCGGGCGCTGGGCGACAAGAGCGCCACTGAGCAGAGGGCTGCGGGGGCCTTCTTTCGCCCGCGCTGGAGCCGCGCGGGCCCGAGCCAGCTCGGATGGCCAGAGCCCGCTGACTGCCTGAGAAAAGCTAAGCAACAAACGCATGACATAAACCGCACTGCGGCCATCCCGTCTCTTCTGCTGCCCTGCAGAAGCGCGCGTGTACGCAAAATTGCGCGGGTCGCCGCGAGGGGGCCCCCCGGGGCCCCTTTCGCATGGGCCCAGCGGCGGTCCAGGGCGCGCGCGACGCGGGGGCGCGGCCCTGAGGTCGAGCCGAGCTCGTGCCCATTCCCCCCTTCGAACGGTTCCTGCTGCGCCTGGGCGCCCCCCGCGACAGGCGGCGTCGGCGCTCGCCTGTCCCGGCAGCTTCCGCGCGGGAGTTGACGCGCGGTGGCTCGGCGGTGCTGCGTGGACATGTGCCAGCGCAGCGAATGGCGCCTCCTGGGCAATGAGGGCGCACGAGTTCGTTTTGAAGCTGGGTTGCTCGCCGTGGACAGTT